TGGCATGTAGTCCTTCTTTCGCAGAATAAGACTGGGGCTCAAGCCAGAAAGGACGGCAGTGAAATTCTCAGGGACCGCCTGTCCGTCGCCTACAGAAGGGGTTTTTTCCGGAGATAGAGTATCATCGGAACTTTCATCTGAAATGTACTTGACCTGACAAACGTCTCCAGTTTCCTTCGCAGCAAGCGAATTCGGAGGTAGCATTTCCTCCGAGAGAGTGGCTGGAGCTCTTTTCCGTTTCTTCCCGACGCGATCTTCATCATCCCTACTACTTTTGACTCCTTCAGTAGCTTTAAAATACTTATCAATGTCGACGTCGGCGAGGTCTGGTCCGAATTGCATAGTCACCCAGTCAGGAAGTCGGGCTGCGTAGTACTCCAGTGCGTCAACCCATTTCACCGGTGAGTTATCCTCGCGTGATGCTTCCAAGGACGCCCACTCGGCATGGCCCTTCAACAAACGAGACACAGCCCCGCTGTTCAGGCGCCTACCGCGCTGGAGACGAAAGGCTTCTGCCAGCATGGCTTCCCTTGGCATTACATTATTCATTGCGGAGAAGAACAATCTTTCAGAAGTGATGGAGGAACTGTGGAAGCAATAGTGGCCACGAAAATATATAAGAGAATATACCTGTGAAATTCACTTTCCAGACAATCTGCGATAATTAGACTTTTCAGAGATTTTTGAAAGTTCGATTGCGACTCTTTTCGGGGCACCGGGGGTAACCTGTTGAAGACAGATGGGAGCCCGAGTTTGGTTGCTGGTGGCTGCGGGATGAGCGCGCTCGGGAAAGCGCCTTAGGAGCGCCTACAACATCAAGATCGCCGACTTTGGCATTACCAGCCTCAACCGCCTGGGAAAGCTCGTGACTGAAAAAGCACCCAGTGCCTTCAATCATCAAAAACAGCTCCATGAGCCCGATGGAAACGTGGAGGGAATCGACGCCTGCGACGACGACCCCGTTCCGCTCGCCGGACCCTGTTTCGAGGTTCTTCACCGTCGCAAGCGCTCCGCCGGGAAGTATTGAGAGCTTGTCTTTCGGCGCGATGGTGCCGCATCGTAGCCGTCCGGTAACAGCGCCGTTGTCGCCTAGGGTGGTGCTCCGGAAGAAGTAGGACACAATCAGCCCCGTCGGCTGCACACTGACCACGGCGAGATGCGAAGCGTCTGCGCTTGGTAAACTTTCAATGGCCTCTAGCACGCTCGGTCCCTGGTACCACTTCAGCAGTGGGCGTTCCGCGTCCGACCTTTTAATCAGGTTGGCCCCCGAGCGACCTGAGGCCGCTACAAATAACACAGACTTGTTCATCTTCCATCCATTCCCTCTCAAAAAGTCCTCGACCGCCTTGGCAACCATTTTAAACCTCTCCTCCTCAAAATTTACGATGTCCATATTATTCACCACCATGATCAGTCGGCTAACCCCCGTGGAATTGAGCACGAGAGTGTGCTCCTTGGTCTGACCGTCCTCCGAAAAGCCCTACTCAAACTCGCCAGGCGAAGCGTCAACCACCAGCAAAGCCGCAGACGCTTGTGTCGCGCCTAAGATCATGGCCGGCACGAAGTCGCGATGCTTTGGTGCATCAATCATGGCATACGTCCTTGCGTTCCGTCCCTCCGTTTTAAAGACCCTGGTGGCAATATCAATCGTGCCACCGCGCTTCCGTTCCACCGCATCCTCATTCGTCCCCCATCGCGTTCTGGTCCTGCTCCTTTCTCCGCTGCTTCCGCATGCCCCACCTGTCCCTTCTTGCAAGCGCAACATATGCCCTAACAATCGGCCATCTCTCCGCTGCCTCGTGCACATCCCTTCGCTCACCCGTCGCGGGCGGGGCACTCTGTACACCGGGAGAGCCGACCCGCAGCTCAATCCCGGGTAGAGGTGCCGCCGCCCAGGCCGACGTGCACCCCTCAAGCGGAGCGCCGCTTGGGGGCACTGCCGTGGCTGGGCGCTGGTGATGTCGGGACGTCAGCACGGGCGCAGTCGAGGGCTCGGTGATCTATGACGTCAACCTGTCCAGCCTGGGCACCTGCTATCTCAACCGGAGCACCAGCCACCCCCCGAGTGCCTGCTATTTCAGCCTGACCACCTGCCCTCCCTCTTGCTGCGGCCATCTTCCGCCTCCGGATGCTGCGGCGCGGGCTGCCCGCCGTTTTTTCTTTTGTGTAGGCGGCTCCGCACGCAGCGCCATGGTGCGACGACGAGAAGGCTACTCTTGAGAGCCTGCTTTTATTTATTAGTGACCCTATTATTATAGGGTTACGTACCGCATATGGGACGCGTACACGCGCGTCCCATGTGCGGTACGTAACCCAGCCTGCGACGCCGATGATAGGGAGTGTCACGCACGCGCCCTCCGACGGGCCACGCGAAATCGTAACTTGTGCGTGTGTGTGGACGCGTGGCGACCTGCGTGTGCGTGTGGACGCGGCCGTGTGGACCCGTCGGGGCGTACGTGGCGTAGCCCCTAGCTGCCCGCGTCCGATGGGATATGGGCCAGGGGACGGACAGGCGGGCAGGGCGTCTGTGTATCCGAGAGCTCCCGTGGTGGATGTGGTGGTGAGGAAGCAGAGCTGGCAGGAGCGGATGCAAAGTTAGCCGGACGGGACGAAGGAGGAGTTTCCGAGATGGGCTTCGGACGTAGAGGGCCGTGCAAATAGGGACGGTTGGTTGCGAGAGGACGAGGTTGTGTTGTTCAACAAGGCGGATGGAAAAGGTGTTTGGGGGCGGGAAAACGATGAAGCCGAGGATTTGTCGGGAATTGGCTGTATTTAAATTTCAGTTTTTGCGCAGCGCGTCTCTTTGCGCCCGAGCTTGCCGAGGTGCTCGTCGGAGTGCCGCTGCATGTCTTCGGGCGCCCCGCGCGTTGCGGGCGGCGCGCCGCCATAGCGTCGGCCGGCAGCTTCGCCTTGCGCAAGAGCGCCGACGTGTCCGCACTCCGCTCGCCGACTCCCTCACATCCCCGACCCGCCTCACATGTGCCCTTCGTCTATCCCGTCCTCCGCCCGCGCCCCCGGTCAACATACCGACACCTTCACAACCGCCCCCGCCATCATCCCTCGATGCCCTAGACCCATCCACAACATCCCATGTCGTCAAACCAGGGAATGATGCCTACTGTGGGTGGAGTCCCGTTTGAACTCAATGTCTACGATCCTCAGCACTCCGACAATCCGGACGCCGTGCTCGCCATTAACTGGTATCTATACGTCGTCGGCATGGGGCTATATCACTCGGGCGTCTCCATTTGCGGAAATGAGTATTGCTAAGGCGGACACGCGGATGACGACACAGGCGTCTTTGAAGTCGTCCCGCGGAAGGCCCCCGATGCGAAGTTTAGGCAGAAAGTCTTTGTAGGGAGTACCAGTCTTGACCCGCAGCAGGTATGGACACCTGGCTTTGACAAGCTCTGACATCAGAGCTTGTCAAGGCCATGGCCCACGTGTGGAGTGGCAACTCGTATAACTTATTAACACGGTAAGTTCTGACTTCTTGTCAAGGCAGGCATGCATTTTTATCTCCTTTCGCAAAAGCCTAAGCCCTTCGCCGTTGTGTTTTCACCGTGCGCAGAAATTGGAATTACTTCGCCTCAGGCGTTGCCGCCGCTCAGCGCGAGCGGCTCTCTGGTGTCGCCGCGCTCCGGCATACCGGGCGGCTCGGCGGGCGCGGCGTCCTGCTCGAGCATGCGGGCGATGGGCAACCGGTGCGAGAGCTGCGAGCTGGCCATGGCTGCGGTGGCCGCGGCCGCGTCCGCGGCGCGCTGCTGGCGCAGCACCTCGAGTGCGGCGATGAATCTCAAATTCCCAAAACATCCAACAATAATACTACTTCCCATTCCCAGACGCATGAATGTGTTTCTCCTTGTTTCTTCTCGGGATACGAAGTTTTGCAGTTTAGCCATGCCTCGCCACAGTCCAGAGAGATCTCTATTCTGCTGACTTCGCGTCCCCCTCCAGAGTATGCATATCCCATGACGTTTTACGTCCCGAATCGATGACAACCAGACGCTCGCCGTTCGCTGGGTGAGCATTTTCCAGGTGAACATTTGCGGAGTTGATGTTCATCTCAGTGAAAAAATACTCATCACTGTACCACAGCCCTGTTCGTGTGCCAACTCGGCACCAACGTGCCGGGGGAAGACTCGATTATCAAAGAAATGATAATGGTGTGCTGATGGCTTGTCTCTAACTTCGATCGTCGAGAAGTCCTTCACCATTCTTCCTGCACTCCAGCTCGTAATAATGAGCCTCAAAGTAAAACCATGGTCTGGTTACCGTAGGGTTACCGTAGGGGTTCATCGCGGTGGCGACATCAATCGAGTTCCGTACGCACCTGTAAGCAGATCTTCCTGGTTGGAAGCTCGTTCATAGAGAAGCACAATTCATTTGTAACAAGTCCTTTGATTGTGAGATGGTGCGATTCCCAATTTGTGAGTGCCAGTTTTCCATGGTTCTGAATAAAGTGCACTGAAATTGGAACCACGAAACATTGGTCCACCAATTTGCTCAGAGGGGGTTCAGCGTTCAACAGATGCTTGCCGGTTAGACGAATGAGTTCTGGATTTCACGGAACCCACGAGTCAGAGGATTTTCCCTCTCGGCTGTCAAGTTTTGTGGTGACATGGTTCATAGGGCGAAAACTAACCGTAGAAGCTGTCATCTTGTCCCAGTGCTTCGAGAAATGAATTTGAAAGGCGGCTGTAGGTGTTGTGATGTAGAAGAGCTCCTTCTGTATAGAATTACTCGAAGCTCTTCTTGAACCTTTTCGCAGTTTGGTTGTGCACATCAATCGACAACGAGCTGTTAGAATTTGATGTACATCTCGAAGCAGACAGGCGCGTTACATTTCTACGGAAACACACGGGCCAACACACGAGCACAGTCAGACCTCCATCTCCGCAGACGCACGTGCAACTCATCTCTCTCTCCATTTCGGTTATGCATGTTCCAACGTGTAAATCAGGTCCAAGTAGCGACTGTCCGGCGGGCGCACCGTGTCTTTAGGAAAGTGGCGGACGAGAACGGGGAGCTCGTCCTTGCGCCCAGCATGTCAAGCGGACTTGATAACGGGCTCGTTTTCGGGCGTGATGCGCACGGCGGCGTCGCGCATACCGGGCACAAAGTTGGGCATGAACATGTGCTTGCAGAAGGGACCGTAGCTGTCGACCAGCACGGGGGCGTCGCGGAACTCGTCCTGGATGCGCTTGCGCTCGCCGAAGTACTCTCACACGCGCGCCATGTCTGCCGCGGGCCCCATCGCCACACGCGTCCCCCGCGTAGTCGCCGTCCGTGAACTGCCGCAGCGCAAACTCGTCCAGCGCTTTGTCCGGCACACTCATCACGGCACCCACTTGCGATACGGCTCGCGCGGGCAGCGTTGGGGGCATTAGTTTCAGGGTTGCAGCTTTTGATCACTTCAACATTCAGCCCTCTCCTGCAATAGTGCTTTAAGGCCAATTACCAGATTACAGCTGCTCGCTTGCTGCTCTCACGTTCGCAGAAACAAAACATTCAAGCTATTGGCAGAACTGGCAACACAATGGTCGCATACGCAGCACGAAGTTCTATTGAACTCCCAGTCAGAAGAAACCGGCTTTTATCATACCCCATTTAAACTCTTTCTTTGCGAGAGTTAACCCGCAGAGGTGCCCTCTTAACTCTTTCACCGTCCGCATTCAATCGATTAATGTACATTGCTTGGATAGTCTCTCCGTAGGCTTCATTTCAGATAGCGAGGCAGTGCATATCGTTCCCATGGCTCCAAGACCAAGAACGCGAATCATTCTTGCTAACCACTGATCAACACCGACATTGCCTGTGATATTTGAAACCTGCCCTGGTTTAACTAGTTCCAATTCCAGGTCCGCAGTTGCAGCAAGCTGAGTAGAAAGTTCCATGATTGACCCTATGTCATTCATGAGAGAGTTTACCACGGCCTTGAGTCCGACGCACGCCGGGGTGGGAGAACCGCCCTGAAACAAGTCCTCTCTTTGGATGGAAGTCACCGGTGCACGATGGTCTTTTGAAATGCGTGAGCACTGAGCGGACAGATGCAAGTAGGGTTCTCGCAGGCCTCATTTTCGTCTTCGTGACCTCGACGACATCCAGCACCATTTTCTCAGAATCAAAGGTCTGTGAAGAGGCAAACAAATTCCTATCCATGATGTCCATAACCAGTGAATCGGGAACTAGGCGACGCCATACCTTCATTTCTTGCGAAAAGTTGTCGCATCTTTCCTCCAAGAGCAATGCGAACTGCTCCCATAGTTTTGAGTCCAGTCGTAGATTATCGGAGCTCCACAAATGCCTTTCCGTGCAACGCCGAGCGTTTAAAGCTGCGCCACCCATGCTTGGCCCATTGCCACCTCCGACACAAAGCAATTGTCTGAACCCAGTTGATATCAGAATGCAGAACATCAATCTGAGAAGTAGCGGCGAGTTGCAATAATTATACATGACATCTCGATTGCTCCCAGTAAATAAGTATCTAGCGTACTCTTCTTTCCCGACTCCTATCTTACAATCCATTAACAGCCTCACCCATGAGGGGTATACAGCGTTGAACCTCTCGAGCCAGGTGTCAACAGAAAGAGTCGTGTTCATCTTTATCTGCGAGGCATATGTCAAAGACGCAGATAGCACTACTGCAGGTGTCAAAACACCAAGCACTGAACACGGCGTTGACGACAACATTGCACAGTGTCGTACAAGGCCATTACCAATTCCATACAGGATCGATAAGTCACTCGGAACCATCTCTGGCCCCAGATTCAGCACATTGCGAACGTCGGCAGTAACTGTGGACTTCAGGGCCACAAAATCTTCTGATAGAAACGTCGAATGCTCTTGTTACGGTCCGTGAATTCATGTGAAGAATCCTTCTCTCCAGAAATTGGCTGAGCATGATCGCCTTTGTTGTGCTTCACAATAGTCCTACAACCATCAGTAGGAACGCTTAACACGTCAATAACGAAATGCAATGCCTTTTGTACTCCATCGGGATTCCGAAACATCCTCTTAATGGCATCAACCGTCCCACGCAATGTTCCTTCCAACAACAGCGACTCCACACTCGACTCGAAGTCATGATCGGGAGTGTTCAGGCAGTTCCAGGACACGTTGGCGACAGAAAGAACTGCAGCAATTTTCTCTGAGACTCTATCGCGGCGGTGTTTGTCGTATATAATAATCTCCTCTTGTAAGCGAGATTGATTTTCCTTTCTTCTGGATGTACAACCATTTGGCGGTCTTCCCCGTTTCTTCCCACGGGTATTAGAACCAACTTGCTGCTTAGACACAAGACTCGGAGAGTTACGGCCTCCCACAGAATCTACCATACTGTGGATAATTAGAGATATGGTCGAAGTGCCGCGACGCACGAACGCAAAACAGAAAGTAGTCAGAGATACCGCTTCACGCAAGATTTTTCTTCTGAGAGGACCGGCAGTGCGGATATTGGAGGTGCAGGGAACTCCTGGAGGGTGGGGATGACGGTTATTCGCTGCACGATCAACTCAACCGTTTCGGAGACGAGTTATTGCGCATGATTCTCTCAGTGAACGGAGGGGGCTGCAGACCATGTAAACCTAATGCATCGGAGTCCCTCTGGAAATTATTTCGAAATATTTACAATACACGTACTGTATCCGAAAGGATTCTGGAGGCAATTTGATAGAATTGTTCACTGAATACGTAGTACATCCGGAGGACAGCGACGTCAGTCTAGGGCCCGAAGAGTGGGAGGGCCGCCGCGCATGCCCGGATTAAAACATCAAGTACGAAGCGATTTTACTTCTACCTCCAAGAATGTTTTCGTTTCAGGCCTTTCCAAAACATGACCAGCGGTTTGGCCGGCGTCTGGCTCGCAGTGCGGGGCTTTACCCCTCAAGATGCGGTGTTTACCTTTAGCGCGAGAGAAGCGATCACTTCAAAGCAGGATAGGTATTCTGCAAGAAGAATTTCATGTGTTGCTTCATGCCGCACAGCACCACAGACCGTTGTGAAGTAACGCAGAGGCCACGTGTCGCGTTGATATTGCTTCGGTCGTTGTGATCTTCTTCCCTCCTACCAATCGTTCGTCTTCACCTTTGGCCAGAAGCGATGCATGCGTCGGCTGACCTGGTACCGTCGTCGTAAGGGGATGCTCACAATTGAAAACAACATGCGAGGTACATCAGGTGAGGTGCAATTCAGTCGCAGCATGGACAGCTCCATCCAAGACAATGAAACCAGGCCCATTCCAGGTGATTTTCGTTGAGATATGGCTCAGACCTTGTCTCATAGTTTGGAGAAGACAACGTCTTTGCTTTCAAATTCAACAAACAGGCTTGGTAAGCCAGTAATGCTATGTAACTCTCTTGAGAGGTGGCTCTGAGACTGTCTTGCATCTGCGTTATCGTACTGTTTCTTTGCTCATGAGATACCGTATTCGTCATATTGAGAGAATCATGTGCAGTAGGCGTGAAGGTTGGTGAGCACGTGTGGTTCCGTGCGTGCAGGTTGTCTGAAACCACTGTGGTATCTTCTAGAGCCCACCAAAGGTTGTTCACAGCTGCGGAGTATAGACCACAGGCGAAGTCATAAATAACGTGTCTCGGTAAGGTTGCGAAACAGGAAATGATTATATCTAGTACTGCTCTTGGACCTTCATTCTTCTCCAACACCTTGAATCCCATAATGAGAGGATTTGAGCAGGAGCATAGAAATGTTAATGCACCCGGGGTGAAACTTCTGGTTCCCTGAAAGTAGGATTTTGAACAAATCCCGAAAGCATCCTTGCTGTTCATATTATTGAGCTCGTCATTCAACGGCATCGGCCGCACTTGTGGATGTGCTGGGAAGAACACTCCAGTGCGACACGGGGACACGTAATTATTAATCACGTTCCCCTCTAACTTGGAAGCAAGGGACTTCTCCGACAAGAATTTTTGTCGCAGTTCCGTGAAGTTAGTTCCGTTCCACTTCACGGCATACATTCCTGCCGAGAATCTTTGAGCAGCAGGGCTTGAGTAGAACTGGTAGAATGTTTCAACGCGATCAGCGACGCCGTGCAGTACTTTTCCTATATGATCCAGCAGCTCAGGGCTGTCGCACTCAAATTCAATTGCTGCTATTATCCCGCCGCGTAACACACGAAGAAACCGCATAATAGATGTGTCAGATAGAATGCCGCTCACCGTTCGAGAGCTCTCAGCGAGAAGGACTAGCACCACTTCACGTCCCAGTGAGCATGAAGCCGCTACGACACGCAGGCTTGCCAATTGCTTCCGTGTAACCATCTGCGTGCAAGGTGACTGAATGAGATATCTGATGAGAAGAAACAGATCCGTTCTCGACCCCAAAGACCACTGCCCAGAGATGAGTTCATAAATGCCTTGGACCAGCACTTTCCTTCCCGGTCAGTCTCATTATTTGCTTCCAAACCATTGTGTGAGGCCAAGAAGCCAATAATGGCAGTCATCACTTCAGAATCTGTTGCAACAACATTTGAAGAATGTCCACTCTGAAGGGATGCTGTCCCAGTCCTTCCCAGATCATCATTACGAGAACTCTTGCGTCTCTTTCGAGAAGGATGTGTTCCACGTTGACGTTTTTTCAGATACAATAGCAAGGCACGACAGAGCCGCTCACACAGCTCTCTTTGACTGAAGCAACAGCAAATGAGATCTCGGAGGCGACTCGCTACGCTTATGCCAATGTCGTCTTTGTCGTTAGGGCTTCTCCCCGTTAAGGATTCATCGAGATAGTTGACAGGAAGCAAATGAGGTGATATGAGACGAATAGCTCCAACAACTGCCGGTAACGTTCTATTTGTGACAGTAACTGCATCGCCTTTTATAGCATCAATTAGAAACATCCCTGTCTGTTCCTTACGAAGCAAGCCAATCAGCGGTCTCTTGATCGCCTTCATAGAATGCGACGATGCCTTAGACGGCTTTAATGCCTGACAAGTCTCAGAAACGTTGACAAACGTTCTTCGCCATTTTCTCTGATAACCAGACCATATACCGTCCGCGCAGACAGCATGCAGTCTCCCTTCGTCTCCTTCACATGTTTCACATTTGAAAAGACTTGAGGGTGGTGCAATCATTATTAGTTTGATCATTAGAACGCACAGTTTCTGCAGTGTTCGTGAGGACCTCCACCTTCTCTCTTCTCCAAACCAACCACTGTCAATATCTCCTATTACTTCTGTACCAGATCTTGAACTGCTCTGCAACGCCACTTCCATTGCCTTCCAGGCAGCTGCAGCACCTTCAGTGAGCATACGTTCGTCATGCTTCAACTGCATCTGCTCCATGAACTTCTGAGACCGCTGCTCTCTTGTGATACCCGAAACATTGTCCGTTTTCATGGCTTGACTCGGAACTAAATCAGCATCAATACGAGCTGTGACGTCCGATAGTAATGCTCCAAACGGCCTCTCAGCGTCCCATTAGATGTTGCTACACCCCTGATGATATGCCGTAGCAGGACGTGTGTTGCAGCTGTTGATAAGCTAGCCAATACTATCTTGTGGTCTCTGCCTTCTGAATGAATGATAGTGTAGCAGTTTGAGCACTTGAAAACTTCAACATGCATTTCGCACACTCCAGCAGTTGTCATGATAATACCTTGCTGCAGCTTTCGAGTAGATTCGTCTCGTTCTGGATTGCAAAGTACACAAACCTTGGGGGCTGAAACCATAAACGTCAGGATGCTCTGTGACAGCATCACTATTCTCCTGTTCATTCTTATTGCCTCTTTGCAATCAACTACTCCCACTGGGTAACGAGATAGTCCCCCAAGATCATCCATTGGGTTCCAGTTTGGACCGTACAGGAGCGGTTCCAACTTAACGTTTGTACAAGCTCCATCCTTCACAGCGGGTCCTCCGTGGACTAGCAAGTCTCGCAACTTCGTGACATGTTCGCATGAATTTGTGCAGACAAGGTCACAAAAAGCACATATGTAGTGCTGACCATTGCGTTGTATGAATCTTATGGGAACATATTGAATGGTAGTTTCTTCCGAGTTGAACCTCATCGCTAATACTGCCAACTTTCTTCCATGTTGATATGTGAATAGAGGCAAATCGTCCATGTAACTTTCATAGCTCTGAAATGCATTCACCGCAATGGAGTGGAGTGCTTTTCCGCAGATGTCTCGCGTAGTCTGAGACAACATTCCAAGTTCTGTTAGAAACGCGTTTATGGAAGAGGAATGACAGCAGCAGTCGTAATGAAATCCACCGGCTGCTTCTTTGATTCGAAAGTCCACCATACCAATGCATGTACACCGGACAAGTCCATCTTCATTGATCCATGTGCAGGCGCAGTGTCTCTCCCGAGCCATCGATTTTATTCCCTGCCCAGATGATGGGCGTGTTCGAAGAGAGAAATGGACACAAATGACTACTCGCGGCCCAAAGACCATCTCAATCCGCTTCTTCTCCACTTTCCTGTACGCGTCAATCACACTTTCAACGCTTGCCTTCAACGCACCTTTCCCTGTGTCTGACAATCCTGCCAATGGATTAGAGACGTGACAAGCTATTTCTTCTACGAAGCGAGAAGCGAAAATCTTCGATCCAGAGCATATATCTGACAAGTATTGGCAAAGCGCAGCCTTGCTCTTCGGTACATACCTTCTCCGCACGTCATCGAAACCTGTTCTTCGGCGTCCTCCACGCCCATGCCCGGTTGATGAATATCGCTGGTAAACTGAACTAAACGTGAGATTTAACGGCGCTGCGGCAGATGAGTGCTACAAGTCATCAGCAGTATCGTCTGCCTGGACCGAGCACGATCTGAAGAACGACTTTTTTGCTTTTGAAACCCATGAAGCTTCGTCATTATTGATGCCGAGTTTGCTCTCAATAGACTGGTTTGAAATCGCGCACGTAGCCGCCAGCAACTTCGGGTATTCTGAACATTCCGTTGAGGATCCCCCTCCCGATTTACAGTCGGATGTACATGCAGCGTCGTTGAACCTCTTCACTTCATGTCGAAACCACTGAGAAGTGAAGTCCGACTTGCGCTTGGGTGTCTTCATTCAAATGCTGCACGTACACGCGAAAGGAAGCAACGAGTCAAAGTTAGATTCGATATGGCTTCCGATCACGCAATTCGGGGGGGTTCCTCCCGGAGGACGCCAAGATTCCGCTTCCGAAATGTGGAGAGCTGTGCAAAGTTGGAAAAGTTGGATATGCTGCGGGAGTAGCGGGGGGCTTTGATGCCACGTGTTTCGGAGAGACGATCGAGATATGTGAGCAGCGTGTTCTGCGTGCGGCTCGGGGATGCTCCGCGATAAGCCGGTAACTACAGATATTGCTTTCAGTGCGAGGGTGCTACAATATGAGCGTGGCGGTCGTGGATCCATTTGATCCAATCGTAGAAAAGGATCTATTTACCGTTAGCCAAAACAATAGGATCACGAGCAATATGCAAAATAATTATATTTTTCATTATGTATTAATTTTATATGGTAGAAACAAGATATCTGCAAAATATTTTCGAAGTGCCTATTGCATCCATAGTGATTATGCACAACCTGAAACTTGATGCTTGCCATACGTTCAGTACGGCTTAACACGATTAAATTCGTTAAGTCTATGTATATCGATGGTCAAAAGTCTTTGTAGATCTGTCGAATTTTCCTTCCCATCGTCCTTCATTTGCCCATCGTCCTTCATTTGCCCGCATTAACTGTTTTATTACGATTAACAACGCCAGAAATAGGGAAAACGGACATAATTGTCCATACCGACCGAATTCCAATGCAATTTTCAGTTTGCCGACTCCCGTTACGACTACTACACGTTTCTAAGCTATTGGGTAGAGAAAAATCCAAACTTATATTACCCTACTCCAAGTCGAAGTAAGTATGGTCAGTTATAAAGAGCTTAGATACAATGGGAACCGAACTAAGTTATAGTGGTGTCAGAAAAGTGAAACATTAATGCTACCAGACAGTACATATTGATCATAGAAGCCCTGCCATCCACTTTTCGCGATTACAGACCCTTCATATTGACGTAGCAATAGAAATTGTGATAAAAGGGTGAATTGGCCCCTTTTCAGGCCATTAACTAGAGAAGTAGGCACTAAAAAGGCCCTGGAACCCTATCGTAAGTGAAAATGTAGAGCACTAAAGTACAATGAAGCATATAAGAACTATGTGAGACCGTTTAAACGCTTTCTGCAGTCGAGAGTACTCCTTTCTTCTATTCTTTCAAGGGTTTCAGAGCATTCTTTAGACCAATTACACGTTTCAACACGTGGCAAATCTTAAAGATTCAATTTCGTGTCAAATTTGTCAGACCGCACAGGACAAATTGTCCTGAGTGTATGAATATAAGCAGGCGCACAGAGCGACGACGAGTAAATAAAGGACATCGGTCTCGTGTTCACACAGGTTATGGGCAACACTCGCTAACCACTCCCCAACACGACGTCACACACCCGATCTCTCCGCCATCGGAGGCTCCTCCCTACTCCCTCACATCTCACCGCGCTACTGACATACTTCCCACCTCCCCGGCTCCAGCCAGCCCTCAGCAACACGGATAAACGCTCAGACCTTCCCAAACTCGACACAGCCAACTACGGCCCATGGCTCGTAGAAATTCGCGCCGCAGCTCACACCATCGACTGCATCAACCACATCACTGGCAATCCCGAAGTACCCCAAGATCCAAACCAACAGACAGAATTTCAGCGCAACAAACACTATCTCATCGGCAAAATCATATCATATATCCCACCCGAAATTGCCAACTTAATCATCACACCGACCAGCGATCCTACACCCTACGAACTCGTAACAGCAATTACTGCACACCTTGACACCACGAACACTTCCGATCACAAGTACCTCAAGCAACTCGCGGAACAAACCGTATTTCTACCAGACATGACACTCTCTCAATACATCACAGCCCATGAAACAATCAGAACCAAGATGATAGCGGCACGCTACCCCTCTATATCAGACCCAAGAACAACTGTAGAATTTCTCATTGACGGACTACGCTTCAATCCAGTCACATCTACAGTAGGTGTCCAACTCATCTCACTCGATCCCCACGATGTCAAGGATTTCGTACACAAATTCAACCGCATAACTTCCTACACCTCCTTCCAAAAACCCACCAGTACGACGCAAGGATATTCGCCTATCATAACTACAAGCGCGAACCAAGACACATGGAGAACAGCCCCTTCCCTTCGTCGAGTGCCACGTCGTATCTCGAACCCATGCAGGTTTCATCAAAGCAGAGGCATACCTCATCCGGTCCACAGGGACTACGAATGTCGACACCCTCAACACCCTCGTCACCAACGGAAAACAACCACCAAACAATACACGCAAGCTCGTACATTAGCCCCAGACGTCCCGCACATTACCGAGGGAGTGCATGAACAACCAATCATATCAGCTGAAGACCATCAACCCCCGCCATGTACGTATACACTCGACTCCGGAGCTCATCCGTCACATGTCTCCCACACCAAACATATCCCCTACCCGAACTCCTATCGCGCCAAAACGTACACAGCAACTAACGACAGCACCCACTGTACACACCGTGGTCAGACATCAATCAAGACGAATATGAACAACACAATACCCATACCAGCCCTCGTTACGCCGAAGATCAAATCCAATCTGCTATCCGTCCATGACATCACGATCCACCATGGAAACGTGCTCTTCACAACAACCAAAGCAATCATGTACGCTCGAAACAAAGGCACAACCAGGATTCTCGGAACCGCTCCATGGAATCACAAACATCAAGCATACACCTGGAGCTCCACACAGAACCACGCTCATAGTGCTCGCACACGACCCTCCAATACTAAAAATACCAAGCTAGCGCAACCCAAATCCAATGAGCAACCTTCACCTTCTCTCTCACCCTCTCTCTCAAAACCCAATCTACTACTCTCGCAACGTCCAAATACCACCACCGCAAAGCACCACAACACTCAACCCATCTACAAGCTTCGCAAAACCCAACCCACACCCACTCCCCCATCCCTGGACATTATCGCACTCCACGACTGGCATTTAAAACTTAACCACGCACCACCCCGCGTCATCCAATCCATTGCCCGTCAACAACTCGTGCATGGAATACCACCCCGCCTCGCCTCGATCTCGGCCACCATATCTTGCTCAACATGTGCCCACGCCAAACAAAGACCTTACCCGCACAAACCAAAGCAGCACTCCTACAAACCGTCAGAATACATCAGCTCTGACACATGTGGTCCCATCAATCCTCCATCACTGCAAGGGCATCTACACTTCCTCTCATACATTGATGCCGCCTCCCGATACCTCATCCTATTCTTTCTCAAAGATCGACGCAAAGTCGGGATAATTATGCCTCAATTCTTCAAGCAACTTCGCCAAAACGGCCGCCTTCCACGCATATACCGCACCGACAACGCAAAAGAATTCAAATCGAAAGCCGCTCTCCACACGTACGCTGACCTAGGCATACAATACCTCAACAACACGCCCCATCAGCCCCAAGAAAATTCCTTGGCCGAGCGCATTAACCAAACGATAATGAATGCAGCTCGAGCCAACCTCAAACACGCCAACTTACCCCCATATTACTGGGAAGACGCGGTCAAAGATGCCGCATACAAATACAACATCATGCCGCACACCAGCACCGGATCCACACCATATGAATTGTGGCATGGCACCCCCGCTCAACCAGCACAGCTACTCACATTCGGCCAGCTTGGCACCATACCGGTATACAAATACAAAACCAAACTTCAAGCCCGTGCGATAACAGTACGATACATGTATGCCCACACCCCAGACCATCTCACTGTACAGGATATCCAATCTCAAAGATACCACCAAATCCGAACTCAAGACTTTCGCCCATACGACAAATACCGTGACCGTACTTACACCCACCATCACAGCTTCAAAGCCACTCTTGCCAAGAAGAACCAAATCCCACTCACCACTCCCGATCCCAAAAATCACAGCGCCGCCCGCCAATACCCTGACGCCACACAATGGGCGATAGCCCACAACAAAGAACTCGACAAGCTCGATGAGACCAGCACAATCAAATGGCTCCCAAACTCAGCTATCCCTGCTCATGAAAAACTCATACCACTAACCATGACATATCGATACAAGCGATCCTCACAAGGACAAATAACTGAACGGAAGGCGCGTTGTGCAGCACGAGGAGACCAAATGATAGCAGGTCATCACTATGACCCAGATAACGTCACAACATATATGGCAGAGAAACACACCGTCAGACTCCTGCTATCCATAGCCGCCGCACACGATTGGACCACAGAACATATGGATATCTCATCCGCATACTTATAC